GTGCTGGGGTGTCCAGGGTGTCCACTGGCCTTGGGGGAAGGCTAGACCCCACTCACTTTGCTGCAAGAGTCCCCATTAAAGTCAGGATCCCTGCGGTGGGGAGAGGCCAAGTGTGATCCCAGCAGGCCCCGGATCTCGCTTACCCTCTGCACTACTACACTATAGTGGCCCTGGCCCTGGGCACATGCTGAAGGAATTCAGTGCCTTGCTGCTTCTAGGTTGACCCTGATTAAAATGCTTGCACCGGTTTTTCACCCAAAAGTCATCCCAACATCTTACAAGGAGAAGGGCTGAGGCTGAAAAAATGATGCCTAGGACCATGGAACCCCCTCCCCACCCCCCACCTCCATGGAGACCCTAAAATGAATGCTCTTGGCCTTCCTCCCCACTCCTCTATCACAGGCAATTTTCTTTTCCTCATTCATGTTTCCAAAACAGTTTATCTTTTTATCTCCTTGGAAGAAAAGTGCTCTGCAAATCAAAGGTATCATTAGTATTGTTATTATTTTGCTATGGAAATCTCTTGAATTCACTCAGGATTATTCATGTGCTTTTTTGGGTCTGCAATATAATGCCTCCTAAGCCATCCCCACTGGGCTGAACAAAAAAGAAAAATTGCATCTTCAGGCCTAATCCCCTGCTCCACCCCGTTTGTCTCCTGCTGGCCCTGGCTCAGAGCAGCTCCTCGCTCACTGCTGCCACGTTCCCAGGTTGCCAGCATACCCTCCTCTGTGACCAGGCGGGAGGCCCTGCAGCGTCCTTTGAGTGCAGTAGGATGGTGTTGACCCCACTCCACCCCCTCCATCCCCGGGGAGTTTCTATTCCCTCCACAATTGGTCTGGTTGGCAACTGAGAACTCCCTGCTGGGCAGCAGACACATCCCAGTTTCCCTCACCCAGCAAACTTGTGGAAGAAGTGGTCCACACCCCTGGCAGCTGTGCACTGACCTTCTAGCACAAAAGAAGGGATTCCTTCTCCTCTAGACCAGATGTCACACCCCTTGGGGTGCGGGGGTGGGCAGAGAACATCACACTTATTACTTGCCTCTTCTGTTATATGACATTTCTGAGTGAGGATCAATGTTTCCCAAAGTCTCTGCTCATTCCAATATCCTTTCTAACGCCTTCTCAGCATGCACCCCCTGGGACTCCTCTGTTCTTTGGCTGCCTCTGAGGTGCTCAAGCTATATTCTCATCACCCCCCTTCCTGAGCTTCCTGTCTTCCCCTTGGCTCCCCTCACCCCAGCCAACTCCCTCCACTCACATTCTATTTTAGTCTCCTGTCTGCTCTATGCTCCTCTATTCCCTGGGAGATGCATGTCACCATGGACCTCTGCCCCTGGAGTGGACATCTGACAGATTCCTGCCAGCAGGTCAGAAGAGCAAGTTGCTTAGATTCTTCCTAATAGGTAGATGACACCCCAGATGAATCCTCAACTCAGGGGCGTCACTGACAGGTAAATGCAACTTGTCACTTTTACCCCAACATGCCCAGAGCAGCACAGCACAACGCACAGGTAAACCCAACAAGAGATCAGGGCTCACCAGAATTAGAACTTTCAGACCCACTGAGTTACTAGGCAGGACAGGACACTGGGGGCACTAGAGCAAAACACCGGGGGGGGGTAGACAATGCCTTCCCTAGAGCGGTCCAGGTAAAGGCACCGAGCCTGTGCCATGCTGCACTTTCCCAGACTCTCAGGACTGAGATCCGTGGGCAGCAGGGAGTCCTCAGTCCATTACTCCTCTGCAGCTACTTAATGTGGCTGTGCAGGCTGGATGGAACGGTCCTGGAGATGAAGGAAGGCGCAGAAGGAAATGGTTGTGGGCAAACTGAAATGGTAAAGGGAAAAAATAGAGCAAGTTCTAAGTTTATGGATGACAAGAGAATCAATTCCTCTTCACCCCGGGGCAGAACATGCCTCTTCTCCGCAGGAGGCAAATTGTGCTGTGACATATCCCTCTCTGTACAAAGCGTGCGTCCTGACAGCCAAAGGAGGGGGCATCCCCAGCAAGAGGAAACCCACACTGCACACTGGCGGCTCTCCATCTCCTCGCGGGGAGCCAGGCCCGGGCAGGCTGGCAGGGGCGAAGTGGAGGGATGCCACCTGGTCTTTCTACTGCCACCTCAGGAAAGAGAAATAAATACTCCATCTCCATCGACATGAAAGGTCCAAACTTTAAAAGACTAATGGCGCAGCATATCACTGAAATTAATTGTACCTTAATACCTTAATTTCATTGTCAAAAGGGCTATGAAAAAAAGGAAAGGTGAACAGATATTTGATACAATTGAAAAGAAAAGATGATTGAAATAGGCTGTAAGAGTTTATCTAAATGTTTTGCTGTTGAAGTCATCACGGCGCTTTTTGGAGCCCCGCCACCCGCCTCTATGTGGGACCTGAGATGATCCAGAACAGGAAGCTTGAGCATTGTGCTTCCAGAAACTCCGAGACGACACGCAGGTTTCCACCAGGAGAGGTGTGGGCGGCAGATGGCTGTATCACCTGAGTGCCAGATATGGCCTTAAATAGAACCCTGGACATTTGCTTTCTCTGATTGGAGGGCCATCGCTGAGACTCTGAACATTTCCTTGGAAAGCACCCCAGGAGGAAGAGCCCTTGGAAGATGGGGGTCAGAGGCTGGCTCTGGGGGGGGGGTAGGGAAGTGGCCTCAATAAGAGGTATGAGAGGAGAGCCATCTAGGGCCTGTGGGCTAGTGCTCTCATGACCCACTGAAAGTGGATACGCTCTGTCCAATAGTGATAAGTCCATGGCACCAGGCAGGGGTTGGGCACAGTATATGAGCTCAGCATATATGTGCACAGGGTCAAATAGTTTCCTCTGGGGAATTCACAATACCCCAAACGACATCCACATTAAAGCAAATATCCATAGAGCAAGTCAAAAGATACTCTATTGCAATGAAGTCCATAAAGCATCCTCCTTCCTGACCTTTAATTCCTCTAGTCAGATGCTGTCTACTCAAGGGACCTGGGACCTACAGTGTCTAATGATGTGGGCCATTCTGACTGGCTGGGTCCACTTTGGTCTCATCACCTTTCTTTAGTCCTGTTTTGCAGTCCTGTGCATCTACCCTCTATAGGGTAGCAGTGCTGGCCAAGCTCCGAGCACCCAGGAATAACACAGAGCTACGACTCGCATGATGCTTTGGTTTCTCCCTAGTGCCCTCAGGGTCAAGGGTAGATGAAACAGAGCATTTAACCTCCACAGGTAAATATTTAAAGATTCCAATGAGGCAGTCAAGAAATAGCTCTGCACTGAGAAGGGAACGAGCACGGTAGAAGATGCACTCCGATGATTCAGACAGCGGAGAGGCACTTGGACACCTACGGACTCCGTATGCCAATCCGGAGAAGAATTGTGTTGGTGTGCCGCCAAAGAACACAAACCGCTGACCAAAACGTGCCCGGGCCCCATGAACTGTGTGTAGGAGGATGGCCGGATCCTCCTTTCAGGGATCCCACATGCAACTTCCCGAGTGAACTGGGGAATGGGAGAGAGTATTATGTATAGTTGTGTAGTGTATGCCCATAAGCAAACGCGCACACATCCAAGAAAGAGGGGAATTTCACAAACGGTAATGTAACCAAACTGTTTATACCAGTGCTCTGAGATACTTATTCATTCAGCCTGAAAACTCTGGGGAAGGCAATTTATCTTCCTGCTACTGTAGGAGCTCCTGTGAGGTGCACACAGCCCCATGAATGCATGAGTGTGTGTGTGCACATTATAATTATACACAGGCACAGGTATAGCACACTCACATGGGGGAAGCCCCCCTCAGGTTTAATCAGGATGGTCAGCAGCGACATTTGATGAGGGAAATCTGCAGGGACCACAGTGGCTATGGAAGAGGTGAGGAAGGCGGCTGGGATTGTACTTACACTGGCTTCTCCCTGACAGGGGAAGAAAAGATGATATGCTGTTTGCCTGCAAAGCCTGCCACCCACGGCGGTGCTGGGCTCTCCCCAAAACTTTTACCCTTCATTTAATCAACAGATGGACCTGCTCTGTTGTGGATCTTTCTGAGCGAGTCCCATCCCTCTCAGGGCTGTGCTGGCTGGCACAAACGCCGACTCCATGGCAGAGCAGCCCTGGCATTCCGAAATGGGAAGGAGTCCATTTACTTGTCCCCTTTGAACTCAATTCCACAGGTGACTCGACGCATTTGGCTAAGCTAGCACTCACAGTCCCTCTCCCGGATTCCCCTCCCCGCCCTCCCGCCACTCCCAGCCCCACGCTTCCCAGTGGCAGGGAGCCCAGAGGTGGCAAAGTTCTTTTCTGAGCGTCCACCCAGCTCCTCTGCTCCTGCTAGGCTGCAGAAACGAAACAATCAGCACCAGGGGCGAAATTCCATTTTATACCCTGAATCTGGTGCCTTGCAGAACTCAGAATTCAGTCTTACTCCGAGAACGAGATTGCATTCAATGAACTCTTCACACGCTTTTCCCCGGCACTGCAAATTACCCCCACGGTGCATTCGGTAATTGCAGCCCCTTCTGCAAACGTGCGACGCACACGCTCGCTTTTGCATACACTCCCGCAAGTCAGACCTTTTTCGAGCTAAAAATCCACCGAATCCAAGCTGTCCTCCCCACTCGCTCCCTCTCCAGCCTGGGTCTGAAGGAGAGGAGGTGCCCAGAAGTTCAGGGCTGCACGGCCACCGACACCGCCTCATTAGCATACCGGGGGCATAAAGGACTCATTTGCATTGGAGAGTTTGAGCTGGATGTCGACAAGTGAGAGGGGAAAGTCGCCTCCCCGCCCCCCTCTCCATACCCCTTCCTTCCAAAGGAAAATACACAGTAGCATTTTGTTGCATTTTCAAAGGCAAAGGAGAGAAGCCAGCGCCTCGCGACCCGGCCCGAGAGGCGCATCCATCAGCCGAGTTTCCGAAGCCTCCCACCTTCCGCCCTGTGCCTCCCGCGCCCCGGCGCCTCCGCCACTTTCCCCGCAACTCCGGCGGCCTGGGTCCTACCTTGACCGAAGAGGAAGGCGCAGGCGAGGAGCAGGTGGAGCTGGGAAGGTCTCATTCCTCGGCGCGGCGAGGGC